TTGTACAGCAGGACGCTGATCACCGTCACATCGTGGCTGTTGACCCCAACTTCGTTCTTGTCGCTGCCAAAGTAAAAGTGCGAGATCCGGTGTGAATTGAACAGGGCGTCATCGTAGCCCCCTTCATGAATCGTCTCCCCATTGACGTGCACATACCACTCCTTTGTGTCCATTTCCATCACCACTTGATATGTTTGGTTTGCCCTCCACGTGACATCAGACTTTTTGACTCTGCGGCCCCAGCGCAACCCCCACTTCCCGTCCTTCGTGTACGACAGGCCAACAAGCACAGTGCTGGCATCGTCATTCATCCTCACACCCATCAAAGGGGTGTCTGCCCCCGGCACCGCGTTAATCATCACTGTCGCCACAAGAGCGAACTTGTTGTTCGCAAAGTAGTACGGCTGGTTCTGCCCCAGTTCGCCCACCGGCCACTCCGCCCCCGCCCCAGCACCTTTGAACGTCACGCCCCACTCATCGCTTGCCAGTTCTCCAGTCTTCACCGTTGCGTTCACACCGAGGTACTCGTCCTTCCATGCAGTGCCATCCAATGTGCTCGACAAGAGGCCAACCAGTCCTTTGGTGGGAATAGGGCCCCTACACACATTCTTTATCCGCGGGTCAACAGTGCCAGTGGAAGCGCAGTTTGTTAGTGCCTTGTCCAATGCAGTCCAATGCTGCACCACCTCTTTTATCTGCGGCAGCTTGTCTTTCAGGTTCACGGCGACAAGACTGTATAAATCACCCTCCCCATTCTTCGCCTTCTTCTCGTACAGTAAAATCAACTCCTCCTCCTTCTCCCTCTTCTTTCTGTACAGCAGGGAGCTGGCGGCAGCGTCATGCTCTTCATTGGATACCGGCCCAACGTCGTGCACGCGGGCATTGTCTGTCACCCAAAGATGCAGCTGGCCCTTTCCTTTCTCCTCCGAATACGCCGGCAGGGTAAGCAGCATCACCTTCTTCTCCTCGATGGTTGCAGTGATGAAGCCGCTCCGAACGCCCTCCCCTTTTCGATCATGTGAGTTGCCCCACACGCGGGAAATTGGCTCACGCTCGCTGTACCAACTTGTTCCAGCCCAAGGGGACTCGTACACGTCGTAGTAGCCATCCTTGCAGGGAGCCATCAGAAGAAGTTTTTGATCTTCTCCCCACTCCACAATCGATGGATCCTTGTAGTCCCCAGCCTCCGCCATCTGCCGCGAAAGCTCCCATTTGTTCTCTGCCTGGGTGAAGCGCATAGACAAAAAAAAATCATTTTGCTTTCCATCCTTTTGACCCTTATCTATGGCCTGCATGGGAAACACAAGCGTACCGTCACTCAGCACAATGCCCGACCCTCCGCCGCCAACCAACCGAGTCAATGACTTATGCGCTGCCAAGAATTCAGGCTTCACTGCATGGGTCTTACTCCACTCAATTTTTCTTTCCTCACTGTTTCCAGTGACTGTTCCCTTCACCAGCAACAGCCTCCAGCCACCATCACCGGAAACTTCAGGTTCAGATCTTGTGCGGCTGTAATTTCCCAGCAGCATGTAGACATCGCTGCCGCTGACAATTGTGGTTGGCTGCATCACCTCCGTTGCCTTCCCAGCCGCATCACTTGTCTCTTTGAATTGCATGCAAAAGAGATTTGCCTCCCCTGTCAAGATCTCCTTTTCGATATCAGAAATATCCTTCAGGTGCGTCGACGCAATTCCAGCAACGCTGACAGCTTCTTCGCTGCCGTTCCCATTCTTGCACTGAGCCTCAGCAACGGCAAACACATCACCGTCCACCTCCACAAGGCTGGGGACACGCAGCGAGGTGACTGACCCTTCGACGCATTGCATTTCCTCCCATTTGGCACCATCTATCGATGTTGTCCCTTTAAGTGGGCCCACAGCACCCTTTTGATCATCGGTCGCAGCCCCACTGCTGCAGCTGCATATCGACAGCACGCAGATCAGCACCGCATAATAAAAAAACAGATGCCGGGGCATGTTGTGTGGGCGATGTGTGTGTGGTGATGGTTGTGACAGCAGGGCCCTCGAAGCGCACAGCAGCGAGTAGCGTCTGGTCGACTTCCCTTTCCTCCTTCTGCATGTGTGAGCGTGTGTGTGTGGGGAGGCAAAAGAAGCAGCGGGAACCAAAAGCAAAACGGTGGCGTCTCTGCGCGCAGACAGAAGAAAAGATGAAGAACACTGCGAGGTCCCCACACGGTGGCACCCACAGCGGCGGTGATCATCGCCCACGCCGCAAAAACCAAAAAAAAAAAGATGGCGATGAGAAATTCCCGCAGTTCCCCAAAAATAAAATAAAAAGTAAATTAATTGCCTCGGCAGGTGATTTTGCTTCACGTCTTCAGCAGCGACAAAAAAAAAAAAAACTGGTACGGGGATATTTACTCCCCGCGCAACAACTAAAATCAAAAAAGAAGGCACCAACACAAAATTAAATACATCGCCCAGTTTGTTGGGTCCACGCATCTGCATTCCTAAACGTCCCGTGCGGCACTCCGACTGCTCCGCAACCGAGCAGTTGCGTCAAAATCCGTGAGGCACACAACAATACGGCG